TCCCCCTTCATCCTTGTACTGGGAATGTTAATCAGAGTCTGCCATATAGTTACGCAGTCCTCCTTCCCTAGGTCTTACCACAGTCTCTTTCTCTTGCCCCGTAAGATGCGTCTGCCCTCTCCCTGGTTAACATATTTCACTCGACCCTTGCCACCCCACCTGTGCCACTCGAGGCATTATTCGCCCTCCTGCGTCTGGGTGACTAATTCGAAGCTAAAGCCTCTGAGTAAGTCTCATGGTCAGGCCTTTGCCACATGGACCACGTCTCTTATAAAACCTATTGTCAACCCACTAGCTCCCATCGCAGCCGCGTCTATCCTGTTTTTATCTCTAATACCAAGTATATGACTTCCCATGCCCAAGTCTCTTGTGTGCCAACACACAAAGGTTGTGGTTCAACATTGAACCTAGTCAAAGCAAGCAGTACCACAACATTTGTGAGTTGGACTACATGAGACTAGGGCATGGGAAGTCATATACTTGGTATTAGAGATAGAAACAGGATAAACGCGGCGGCGATGGGAGCTAGTGGGCTGACAATAGGTTCTATAAGAGACGTGGTCCATTTGGCAAAGGCTTTACCATTAGACTTACTTAGAAGCTTTAGCCTCGAATTAGTCACCTAGACGCAGGGGAGGGCGAATAATGCCTCGAGTACCACAGATGGGGTGGCAGGGGTCGAGTGAAATATGTGAAGCAGGGAGAGGGCAGACGGATCTTATGGGGTAAGATAGAGACTGGTAAGACCTGGGGAAGGAGGACTGCGTAACTATATGGCAGACTCTGATCAACATTCCCAGCACAAGGATGAAGGGGGGTGAGAAGGCCGGCGTGGAGTGTGGAGGGTTCTTATGAAAGCCGCTCAAAAGGGCACACCGTACCACATTTAATTAAGCAAGTAAAAATTGTGACAATGAAGGCGTGATAGGAGGATATAGGAAATGTGAAGAGGCCAGGGCAGAAGGGGAGATACTATAACTGTTTAGCACACGTTTGGTCAAAGGATCGGCTTCACTTGTCTCTTTGACGAGTTATAATATGGTG